GGGAATAAAATACAAAATGGGAAGTGACACAGTTACTTTTTGCTGATGATACTGTGCTTATGGGAGATTCTAAAGAAAAATTGCAAAGGTTAGTGGATGAGTTTGAGAATGTGTGTAAAGGTAGAAAGTTGAAAGTGAACATAGAAAAGAGTAAGGTGATGAGGGTATCAAATGATTTACATAAAGAAAAATTGGATATCAAATTGGGGAGGAGGAGTATGGAAGAAGTGAATGTTTTCAGATACTTGGGAGTTGACGTGTCGGCGGATGGATTTATGAAGGATGAGGTTAATCATAGAATTGATGAGGGAAAAAAGGTGAGTGGTGCGTTGAGGTATATGTGGAGTCAAAAAACGTTATCTATGGAGGCAAAGAAGGGAATGTATGAAAGTATAGTAGTACCAACACTCTTATATGGATGTGAAGCTTGGGTGGTAAATGCAGCAGCGAGGAGACGGTTGGAGGCAGTGGAGATGTCCTGTCTAAGGGCAATGTGTGGTGTAAATATTATGCAGAAAATTCGGAGTGTGGAAATTAGGAGAAGGTGTGGAGTTAATAAAAGCATTAGTCAGAGGGCAGAAGAGGGGTTGTTGAGGTGGTTTGGTCATTTAGAGAGAATGGATCAAAGTAAAATGACATGGAGAGCATATAAATCTGTAGGGGAAGGAAGGCGGGGTAGGGGTCGTCCTCGAAAAGGTTGGAAGGAAGGGGTAAAAGAGGTTTTGTGGGCGAGTGGCTTGGACTTCCAGCAAGCATGCGTGAGCGTGTTCGATAGGAGTGAATGGAGACCTGACGAGCTGTTGGAGTGTGAGCAGGGTAATATTTAGTGAAGGGATTCAGTGAAACCGGTTATTTTTATATAGCCGGCTTGAGTCCTGGAAATGGGAAGTACAATGCCTGCACTCTAAAGGACGGGCTCGGGATATTAGCATTTTGGAGGGATATGTTGTGTATCTTTATACGTATATGCTTCTAAACTGTTGTGTTCTGAGTACCTCTGCAAAAAGTGATGTGTGTGTGAGTGAGGTGAAAGTGTTGAATGATGATGAAAGTATTTTCTTTTTGGGGATTTTCTTTCTTTTTGGGTCACCCTGCCTCGGTGGGAGACGGCCGACTTGTTGAAAATATATATATATATATATATATATATATATATATATATATATATATATATATATATATATATATATATATATATATATGTCGTGCCGAATAGGCAGAACTTGCGATCTTGCTTAAATAGCAACGCTCATCTTGCCATATAGGACAAGTGAAAATTTGTGTATGCAATAATTTCGCCAAAATCATTCTGAACCTAACGAAAAAAAAAAATATATTTAGTTGGGTTAGGCTTTGTCAATGGTCCAAGTCGGACCGAAACGTCGTCGTAAGCTTCTCTCTTTTATGTGCGGGTTATTTGTGTATAAATTGTTCTTTTTATAATAAGGTTAGGTAAGTTTTCTAAGATTCTTTTGGTGTAAAATTAAAATTTTTTACATTAACATTAATGAAAAAAATATATATTTAAACGTATAAGAGAAAATTTTAGAAAGGACTTAATTTTAAATGAGTTCTTGCTAATTGACCAGTTTTACATATTAGGCACGACATATATATATATATATATATATATATATATATAATATATATATATATATATATATATATATATATATATATATATACATGTATATATATATATATGTATGTGTGTGTGTGTGTGTAGTGCCGAATAGGTAAAAATTGCGTTTTCGGTTTAAATAGCAACGCTTTTCTTGCCGAATAAATCAAGCGAAAAATTGCGTATGCATTAATTTCGCTAAAATAATTTTAAACCTAATGAAAAATATATTTCATTGTGTTTGTTTATTATATTTAATTGGATAAGGCTAAATTAAATTGCACTTCTTATAATAAGGTTAGGTAAGTTTTCTAATGTTCTTTTAGTACAAAATTATTAATTTTTATGTTATCATAAATCAAAAATATATATTTTAATCGCCAAAGAGAAAATTTTAGAAAGGACTTAATTTTAAAAGAGTTCTTTCTAATTGCCGGCGAGTTAGGCCTAATAATCAAAAATGTCTGCCAAACAAGCAACGGAAAATTTCTATATGCCTTAAACTTGCGAAAAATCAGTACGAACAAGAAATGGGACGATATCGATACCCAATTTTTGGCCGATACCGGTACTCTTCCTATTTTTTTTTTTTTTTTAGTTTTAAAATTATAGCTGTATAGTCCTTGTGGCTTAGCGCTTCTTTTTGATAATAATAATAATAATAATAATAATAATAATAATAATAATAATAATAATAATTTAAAATTATAATGACTGTCGTCACAATATAGATAATGTGGACAAGACAAGTGCAGCTCAGGAAAACATTTCGCCACGAGTTACTTCATCGGTTATTCACGACTGAAGTCACTTGGGGCGAAACGTTTTCTCTGATAGATGTCCTTACCTTGAGGTTACCTGGAGGTTATTCCGGGGATCAACGCCCCCGCGGTCCGGTCCATGACCAGGCCTCCCGATGAATCAGGGCCTGATCAACTAGGCTATTACTGCTGACCGCACGCAGTCCAACGTACGAGCCACAGCCCGGCTGATCCGGCAATGACTTTAGGTATCTGTCCAGCTCTCTCTTGAAGGCAGCCAGCCAGGGGTTTATTGGCAATTCCCCTAATGCTTGATGGGAGGCTGTTGAACAGTCTTGGGCCCCGGACACTTATGGTATTTTATCTTAGTGAACCAGTGGCGCCCCTACCTTTTATTGGGGGCATTTTGCATCGCCTGCCCAGTCTTTTACTTTCGTAGGGAGTGATTTCTGTGTGCAGATTTGGGACCATTCCTTCCAAGATTTTCCAAGTGTAGATTATGATATATCTCTCCCTCCTGCGTTCCAACGAGTACAAGTCAAGTGCTTCCAAGCGTTCCCAGTAGTTAAGGTGCTTGACAGAACTTATACGTGCAGTAAAGGATCTCTGTACACTCTCTAGATCTGCGATTTCACCTGCTTTGTATGGAGATGTTAATGTACAGCAGTATTCCAGCCTAGAGAGAACAAGTGATTTGAAAAGGATCATGGGCTTGGCATCTCTCATTTTGAAAGTTCTCATTATCCATCCTATCATTTTCTTTGCACGTGCGATCGTGGCACTGTTGTGATCCTTGAAAGTGAGATCCTCAGACATTACTACTCCCAGGTCCCTTACATTATTTTTCCGCTCTATTGTATGGCCGGAGTCAGTAGTATACTCTGTTCTAGTTATTATCTCCTCCAGTTTTCCATAACTTTCCACAGTTTGTCGGTATCTTATATAAGGGAATGTTTATTGCACATTGGATATTAAATATATCAGGAAGGTTCAATATTATATAATTAAACTCTGAAATGATAATGTTAATTATTTGGTCTGTTGTATTAGTTACTGGTTGTCAAAGGTACTTGTCGATAGTATGTTTGTGTTCGTATGCGTGTGTGTGTGTGTGTGTGTGTGTGTGTGTGTGTGTGTGTGTGTGTGTGTGTGTGTGTGTGTACTCACCTAGTTGTGGTTGCAGGGGTCGAGTCATAGCTCTTGGCCCCGCCTCTTCACTGGCCGCTACTGGGTCTCACTCCCTGCACCATGAGCGTTATCATACCTCTTCTTGAAGCTATGTATGAATCCTGCCTCCACTACATCGCTTACCAGACTATTGCACTTCCTGACAGCTCTGTGACTGACTGTGTGTGTGTGTGTGTGTGTGTGTGTATGTGTGTGTGTGTAACTCTTATAGTCGTGAGGTAGTATGTTAAGATTGATATTTATAAGAACCCACGTAATATTAATAGTTTAAGAAGTATCGGCTGCTAACGGCTGTTTTTAACCGATACCCTACCATAAAAATCGCCGATAACCGCCGATACCGATATTTCGGCGAATCCCTAATCTAAACATAACAAATGTATCTCACCTTAGAGTAGGTCAAAAACCTCACCTTAGAGTAGGTCAAAAACCTCACCTTAGAGTAGGTCAAAAACCTCACCTTAGAGTAGGTCAAAAACCTCACCTTTGAGTAGGTCAAAAACCTCACCTTAGAGTAGGTCAAAAACCTCACCTTTGAGTAGGTCAAAAACCTCACCTTAGAGTAGGTCAAAAACCTCACCTTAGAGTAGGTCAAAAACCTCACCTTTGAGTAGGTCAAAAACCTCACCTTAGAGTAGGTCAAAAACCTCACCTTTGAGTAGGTCAAAAACCTCACCTTAGAGTAGGTCAAAAACCTCACCTTAGAGTAGGTCAAAAACCTCACCTTAGAGTAGGTCAAAAACCTCACCTTAGAGTAGGTCAAAAACCTCACCTTAGAGTAGGTCAAAAACCTCACCTTAGAGTAGGTCAAAAACCTCACCTTAGAGTAGGTCAAAAACCTCACCTTAGAGTAGGTCAAAAACCTCACCTTAGAGTAGGTCAAAAACCTCACCTTAGAGTAGGTCAAAAACCTCACCTTTGAGTAGGTCAAAAACCTCACCTTAGAGTAGGTCAAAAACCTCACCTTAGAGTAGGTCAAAAACCTCACCTTTGAGTAGGTCAAAAACCTCACCTTAGAGTAGGTCAAAAACCTCACCTTAGAGTAGGTCAAAAACCTCACCTTAGAGTAGGTCAAAAACCTCACCTTAGAGTAGGTCAAAAAATAGGTGTTCTTGAAATGTCCAATTTTTAAGGGACTTCAGCCTATTTTGCATGCATATATATATATATATATATATATATATATATATATATATATATATATATATATATATATAATATATATAATATATATATATATTGAATTTATATGTAAAATTGTAGAACTGGTGTGGCTAAGATAGGACAACAAGCTAAGATAGGTTAACAGGCTAAGATAGGATAACAGGCTAAGATAGGATAACAGGCTAAGATAGCATAACATGTAAATCGAACTTCGTAAACATGAAGGAGCGAGTAAAGAGTTAAATATTTTTTTTTTTTTGTTCCAGGAATAAAGTTCGGTGGCTTCCGTCTGTCTGATGCTGCAGCAGACCGAACTAGAAGACCACTTCCCAGCCCACTCACCTACAATGTCTGCTGACTGCGAGGCTGTACCGCCACAGCTGCTTCCCACCAGTACTCTGTCTCCCGACTCGCCCGTCACCGCTGCTGCCACTCCCTCAGATCGACATGGCTCAACTGGCATCAGTTACGAAGGGAGAATCTCTGTTATTCCGCCCCTGGGAGGATACGAAGCCACAATGAGAGCGGCAATGGAACTAGATCGCGTACATCTAAGAGATCAACAGGTTCCAATGGAAACGAGTCTTCACTCTGATCGTCAATGCGATGGGATACAGATTCAGAAGAATTTCCGTCACTTGTACGAACAACGCGTCAGGATAAACGAGGCTAGTCATATGCACGCACAGCGAGAGGATCTGAGACAGGCGTATCCTCAGCCTCAAGATATTAGCGCTCTCAAAGATGAACCCATGACTATATCCAGCGAACAAGATGCGGAAACCACAGCAGAAAATGAATTTAGTCCTCATTTTTCCCAGTCCCATCAGTCACCTGGCGACAGTGCTTATATTCCCAGAGAGCAGTCTCCGACAGCTGGACATTCGCAGGAGATGAGTATTAAGGAAGAGCCAAAACAGGTAGAGGAATCTCAAACTGAAGCTTCGGAACGTGAAGACTGCGATCGGGATAACGATTCCAACACTGTGCTTCGGTTTGCTCGACCTGACCAAAGTGATCCAACAAGATCTCCAATTGAAAAAGCTGGAGAATCACCGGATCTCCCAACAGATTCGGCTAGAATTCAGTCCAACAAGGAGCAGAGTCAGTCTTTCCATGCGTATGATCCCTCATACGGGAATACTGGAAACCTAGAGAGAATGTCTCCCTATGATGGGACTTATCAGGGGATTAATGAACACATGCCATCCAGCGTGGAACCAGATGGTGACGATACCACAGATTCCTGTATGATGAATAGCGACGGTGATATGGATCATCTCTCCCGCTTGCAAAACGCCATGAAGTTATCAGGAGTCATGTCCGGGAATGAAGGGGAAACAGGAGACAAACCTCAACTGTTTCAGTGCCATATTTGCTCATATTCTGGGACGTCTCGCTTTCACTTCAACGCTCATCTTAACACTCACTACGACCACAAGTGTGCAAAGTGTGAATTTACCACCCATACAGAGCCCAAGCTGAGAGAACACATGCAGGAAAAGCACGGCATGAGCGTCGATTCAAACGAGGACCTGGAGAGTATCCGAGTGCCACGAGTCAATGCACAGGGGAAAGTGAAAACATTTAAATGTAAACAGTGCAAATATGTGGCCATTACCAAGGGTGACTTCTGGGAGCACGCTCGCTCACACATCAAGAGTGAGAAACTTCTAACCTGCCCTAAATGCCCTTTTGTTACAGAATATAAACATCACCTGGAATATCACCTCAGAAATCATTTTGGGTCGAAACCTTTCAAATGTAACAAGTGTAATTACTCCTGTGTGAATAAATCAATGCTAAACTCGCACATGAAGTCCCATAGTAATATATATCAATATCGGTGTTCAGACTGCACCTACGCCACTAAATATTGTCATTCTCTTAAACTTCACCTACGTAAGTATGGTCATAACCCAGCCATGGTGCTCAACCCTGACGGAACTCCAAATCCCATTCCCATTATTGATGTTTATGGAACACGAAGGGGACCCAAGCTGAAGAAAGATGATAAAGGAATGCCAATTCTGCCTCCTCATTATCAGATTCAAGCTCAGCTGTTAAAGGCACAGATGCATGTCACCGGGAAGATTCCTTCATCATCAACCTCGCCCCTAGAGAGTCATGTTCCAGCAGCCAGACAGCCAGGTCCCGTCCCACCACCGTCATGCACCAGGCCTCCACACTCACCGTTTTCCTACACTTATCCAAACATGATTGAGAACCTCCAAAGTTCTTCGCCAATCCTTTCTCGAGCTCTTGAAAAGTCCCCCGAGGACCTTTCTCGTCCGCTAGAGGGCCGCGAGCAGTTGCGAGAACTCTTATTGGAAAGAGAACGTGCAGTGAATATTAATCCTATGTCACCAAAGGATGTCTTAAGATGCTCGTTCTGTGACTTCTCCACAGATCGTCGTGAGTTGTTCTCACAACATATGGTGATTCACGCAGGCTCTGAGCGGCGAGACGATGTGGATGACACTCCTAATTCCCCTCAAACAATTGAACGTTCTTTAAGCCCAGAACGTCGTTCCAGTTCACCAGTACGCCCTCCCATTTTTCCACACCAGCAGCCATCATTCACTAACAACGAGATTGGTCCCCTATATTCACCTTTAGCTGCAGCTCACAATCTGAAAGAATATCTAGCTCGCATGAATCCCTTTATTTACCAGCATATGGTGGGTGGACATATTCACCCAGCATTTGGTCTGCAGCAGCACCTACAGCGCTTTGCTCACCCAGTTCTTCAAGGACCTCGACCTATTCTGCCTGAGGAGGAGCACCATCAATCCTCGCCTCAGTCCTCCATTCATCACATTCTCTCACCTAAAGACGAGGATGTCTTGGATTTGAGTAAGGAGCAAACACCGCTCCTGCAGCTCGGCATGGCTAGTGAACTCACACCGCCTCAACAAATTAGAGACACCAGCAAGGAACCTCCTCCTCTTCAACAGAGGAATGAGTCTCAGGCTTCTCTTTCTCCAAATCACTCGTCTCCTCAGTCCTCATCTCCCCCGCGCTCAGAGACGTCAACACCACCTTCAAAGAATCGACGAAAGGGCCGCACTTTCAAATTAGAGCGTATCGCTCTGCGACTTAGCGAAAGTGCTGAAGGCGAGAGCAGCGAACATGACGAAGACATGAGTAGGGAAAATGAAGAAAGCCAGAGTAAGATGTGTGAGAGCCGCATGCCCCCACTCATGCCCATAGCGCAGCATGGCACTACACAAGATACCCAGCAGGCCTGGCAAAGTGCCCATCAATGCCAGTTTTGTGACGTGGCTTTCAAAGACGTGGTTATGTATACCATGCATATGGGTTACCACGGCTACCACAACCCATTCACCTGTAACATGTGCGGTCACGAAGCCACGGACAAAGTGGCTTTCTTCCTCCATATAGCTCGGTCTTCACATTCTTGAGCATCGATTTATCTGCATAGACGCGCTTAACAATTTAGTGATCTCACGTATGTGAGGTGTGATCTCAGAGAAGACTCACTGATCTCGCTGGCTGGTGCTGGGCTCAATGGTGACTGAATCACCAATTATTCCCGATTTAAGTGTGTAACCATGTGCACAAGAGTCATTTAACTCCAATTCCCAGGCCCTATATGAAACCTACAGACTTAGCGCTTCCAGATGAAAACAATATTCTTCCTAGTTCCCTGTTGTGGGTGCCCATAGGCTAATGGTTGTTGTTCAATGAACTGCATTAAAACGCAGATTCTAGTCAGCTGTAGCAATTGTACATAAAATATAAATATATGTGAGTGTATTCCCTGTAAATTCATATGATGGTTTAGTTCAAACATGTTAGAGAAATTTCCTAATGAAATAGAATGTCTCATTAAAATAGTCTTTAGACTTTAGCACAATTCAGAGAATTAATAGTGTGATTTGAATATTTTGTCTCAGTATTAGTTTGGATAAATGCGGGTATAACATTGTAGCAACTTAGGTTTAAAGTTTATGCAATGAAAGTCTGTTCCACAAAGTTCATTAGCTTCCCTTCTGTTTGTCAAACTTTAAAGTGACATTTACGACAAAGATCGTAACACTGTTCCTTCACATTGTCCTCTGAAGATATAACGAAAAGGTCTCTGGAGAGATTTTAAGAGCATTAATCTCTGGCTTAGGCCCATTTCAATAGATATGTATCATAGGCCTCAGTTGTGTAGGACTACAAGGCCTTGATGATGAAAAATATAGTAATATTGTATTGGGAACGTATCATTTTAACCGACTGGTTGTTTTATCCGGCTCTATTATGCAATAATCATTAAGTCTAAATGTCACATGAGAAGCACCAGTAAAGCGTATTTTATTAAATAAACCAAGCATTGAGAGGAACTTCCAGTGTGTACACACAAATATATACCTCTAGGAGTATATATACGTATATATACACCTCTAGGAGTATATATACGTATATATACACCTCTAGGAGTATATATACGCATATATACACCTCTAGGAGTATATATACGCATATATACACCTCTAGGAGTATATATACGTATATATACACCTCTAGGAGTATATATACGCATATATACACCTCTAGGAGTATATATACGTATACATACACCTCTAGGAGTATATATACGTATATATACACCTCTAGGAGTATATATACGTATATATACACCTCTAGGAGTATTACGTATATATACACCTCTAGGAGTATATATACGTATATATACACCTCTAGGAGTATATATATGCATATATACACCTCTAGGAGTATATATACACCTCTAGGCGTATATATACGCATATATACACCTCTAGGAGTATATATACGCATATATACACCTCTAGGAGTATATATACGCATATATACACCTCTAGGAGTATATATACACCTCTAGGCGTATATATACGCATATATGCACCTCTAGGAGTATATATACGCATATATGCACCTCTAGGAGTATATATACGCATATATACACCTCTAGGAGTATATATACGCATATATACACCTCTAGGAGTATATATACACCTCTAGGCGTATATATACGCATATATACACCTCTAGGAGTATATATACGCATATATACACCTCTAGGAGTATATATACGCATATATACACCTCTAGGAGTATATATACGCATATATACACCTCTAGGAGTATATATACGCATATATACACCTCTAGGAGTATATATACGCATATATACACCTATAGGAGTATATATATACGCATAGATACACCTCTATGAGTATATATACGCATATATACACCTCTAGGAGTATATATACGCATATATACACCTCTAGGAGTATATATACGCATATATACACCTCTAGAAGTATATATACGCATATATACACCTCTAGGAGTATATATACGCATATATACACCTCTAGGAGTATATATACGCATATATACACCTCTAGGAGTATATATACGCATATATACACTATATAAAAAAAATATAGTACTTTCAAGGCATGGAACAGTTACTTAGGCTTCCCGGTGCTCAAACCATGTTAGACGCGCACCGCCCCTCAAGGAAGGTTCCTTGATGCTGGTGAGGGGCTCTTGATCTAGGGAATTGGATCTGTGCTCCAGTTCCCTGGATTAAACCTGAACACCTTCCACATCCCCCACAGGCGCTACATAATCCTACGGGTTTAACGCTTCACTTTGATAATAATAATAATAATAATAATAATAATATCTATAAAGAGTATATATATAATGTGTCTGGAATGTATACTGCTGCCCTCAGTGAATATGCTTTTCTGGTGTATTAGTATATATGCTTCTGCTTTCGGCGTATATACACTGCAGCTCTCATAGTATATATACTGCAACTTAGCATATATTCTGCTTCTCAGCGTATATACTCAACTGTTCTTTGCATATATACACTGCTTATCTTATTGCATATGTGTATTGTTGTCAGTGTATAATCACTGCGTATATTTGCAGTGTATATTCACTGTTACTCTTAATATATGTATACTTAGCCCCTCAAGGGAGGTTCCTTGACGATGGTGAGGGGCTCTTGATCTAAGGAATTGGATTTATGCTCCGGTTCCCTGAATTAGGCCTCAATACCTTCCATCACCCCTCCATGTGCGTTGTGTAATCCTACGGATTTAGCGCTCCCCATGATTGTAATATTAAAAATGTATATTTTCGCTTTCAGTTTATATACACTGCTGCTCTTAGTGTATATACACTGCTGCTCTTAGTGTATATACACTGCTGCTCTTAGTGTATATACACTGCTGCTCTTATGTGTATATACACTGCTGCTCTTAGTGTATATACACTGCTGCTCTTAGTGTATTATACATGCTGCTCTTAGTGTATATACACTGCTGCTCTTAGTGTATATACACTACTGCTCTTAGTGTATATACACTGCTGCTCTTAGTGTATATACACTGCTGCTCTTAGTGTATATACACTGCTGCTCTTAGTGTATATACACTGCTGCTCTTAGTGTATATACACTACTGCTCTTAGTGTATATACACTGCTGCTCTTAGTGTATATACACTGCTGCTCTTAGTGTATATACACTACTGCTCTTAGTGTATATACACTGCTGCTCTTAGTGTATATACACTGCTGCTCTTAGTGTATATACACTACTGCTCTTAGTGTATATACACTGCTGCTCTTAGTGTATATACACTGCTGCTCTTAGTGTATATACACTGCTGCTCTTAGTGTATATACACTGCTGCTCTTAGTGTATATACACTACTGCTCTTAGTGTATATACACTGCTGCTCTTAGTGTATATACACTGCTGCTCTTAGTGTATATACACTACTGCTCTTAGTGTATATACACTGCTGCTCTTAGTGTATATACACTACTGCTCTTAGTGTATATACACTGCTGCTCTTAGTGTATATACACTGCTGCTCTTAGTGTATATACACTGCTGCTCTTAGTGTATATACACTGCTGCTCTTAGTGTATATACACTGCTGCTCTTAGTGTATATACACTGCTGCTCTTAGTGTATATACACTGCTGCTCTTAGTGTATATACACTGCTGCTCTTAGTGTATATACACTGCTGCTCTTAGTGTATATACACTGCTGCTCTTAGTGTATATACACTGCTGCTCTTAGTGTATATACACTGCTGCTCTTAGTGTATATACACTGCTGCTCTTAGTGTATATACACTGCTGCTCTTAGTGTATATACACTGCTGCTCTTAGTGTTATACACTGCTGCTCTTAGTGTATATACACTGCTGCTCTTAGAGTATTATACACTGCTGCTCTTAGTGTATATACACTGCTGCTCTTAGTGTATATACACTGCTGCTCTTAGTGTATATACACTACTGCTCTTAGTGTATATACACTGCTGCTCTTAGTGTATATACACTGCTGCTCTTAGTGTATATACACTGCTGCTCTTAGTGTATATACACTACTGCTCTTAGTGTATATACCTGCTGCTCTTAGTTGTATATACACTGCTGCTCTTAGTGTATATACACTGCTGCTCTTAGTGTATATACACTGCTGCTCTTAGTGTATATACACTACTGCTCTTAGTGTATATACACTGCTGCTCTTAGTGTATATACACTGCTGCTCTTAGTGCATATACACTGCTGCTCTTAGTGTATATACACTGCTGCTCTTAGCGTATATACACTGCTGCTCTTAGTGTATATACACTGCTGCTCTTAGCGTATATACACTGCTGCTCTTAGTGTATATACACTGCTGCACTTTTAGAAACTTCCTGCTCCCGCCTACTGACCCTGGGTCAGACTTGCCCGGTGCTTGCCTGGTTAATTAGGCTGTTGTTGCTGGCCTACATATTCATCTCTGAGTGACCTGGCTCTTGGTGGAGACATTAGTGGAGTTTCCACTGGAAGTTTTCCACACCTGTTCCGGCGATATTTATTACATCTCTTAGCATGAGGATGAATAGGAGGAACGGATGTTGATACAGTGTTCTCCTGTTGCGATCATGGTGCCCCTGTCTTTCTCTGAGATTATTTTACCTTTTCTGCCATATTTCTGACTCCTGTTTAGGTTGTGTTTAGAATTTGGATTAGGCCTAAAGTAATTTAAATGTTTTATTAGTTCTATGCAGGCTATAAATGATCTATTTGTTGAAGCTCTGCCATCTCTCTTGCTCTGATTTAAGCTGTCAACACTGGACAGTTTTCTAAACTGAGAGAGCACAAGTGTTGACAGCTTAAATAAGAGCAAGAGAGATGGCACAGCTTCTACGTTTCATTGTCCATTCCATCATTTTTCTGGTCTTGTGAATATATCTCTTGTCTATTTGGTTGGTGATCCTCCTGTGTTTTGTATAGTGTCTCTGTTGAGTTCTTTAATTTTTTGCATATTAAATCAGTTACAACTTGACTCACGAAATCGTAATGACACGATTGCAAACAAACCATACCACGGGAGGGGATTGAACCCGTGGTCAGAGAGTCTCAGAGACTCTCTGACCGCGGGTTCAATCCCGCCCGTGGTATGGTTCACTTACAACTTGTCACCACCAAACCTCATGCTGTTCTCTGTTGCTCACCAGAACACTCTTCTTATATCTTCTTGCAATTTTTTTCGTGTCTTCCGATGTGATTTTCATACTTGTTTTGGTGCCATCCTCAAATACAGATACTTCGCTGTGACAAATGTTGTCTTATCTATGTCCGCTATGAGGATGAGAAACAGTATAGGTACCATCACCGTACCTTGGGGTACCGCATTATTAACTAACTAGATTATGCTTTGTTAGTTTCCACCCTTTGTGATATATTTGTTAGAAAGTTCCCAAACTTTTGTCTACTCTTCCCTCTCGGCGTTGTAGGTTTAGCGCTTCTTTTTTGATAATAATAATAATAATAATAATAATAATAATAATAATAATAATAATACTCTTCCTTCTTGTAACTATTATTTATCGTCATTCCATAAACAGTCACTCCATTATCGCATTTGTCAAGTATTTTAGCAAACTTGGCTGTATAGCCCTTGTGGTTTAGCGCTTCTTTTTGATTATAATAGTAATAATTTAGGGAAGTTGGTTTAGGACACCTCTGTATTTTGGTTTTCTTCCGACGCCTCCGTAAACTTGGAACAAACATGATCTTCCAGCTGTAACTATGCTAGTTCGAATTGTGCAGGGTTTGTTTTTCCCATAATTTGTGATGTGTTGTTTTATCACCCTGTCCAACATTTTATTATTAT